ACAAGAATAGAGGATGACTGCTGCAATAGATTTTTCGTCCAAGTCTACATAAAAATATAAAAAAGAAACAACCCCATTGTTTTTAGCCTTTTATGCAGAGAGAAGCTTTCAGGACAGAAGGYAGGCTTTCCTCTGAGGGGCACATTCAGATTGCCAAATTCACTTCTATCACTACCAGCAGAGAGGTGATTTGCCCAAGATAAACAAGGCAGTAAAGGTGCTCCCCTCAGTCCAAACCAGAGTTCATCACAGCTCTAAACATTCTGGTCACTTAATGAGGACATTGTCAAAATCAMCTATTCTTCAAAAATAAAAGCAGTGCTAATGTCAGCATTTCCTGAGCTTACAGGGCCTCATTCTGCAGCCTCAGAAAAGTTCTTCACAGAGAGCAACAGCACTTGATTTTTAACAAGGGCCTGTCCAAATACTTACTGCAATTGACTGGGGGAACCAGAAAATTATTTACTGACAGCTACCGATTCTTTCTTCATTAATTTTTCCTATAATTTAATGCTAGCTGCTTAACCGCCCACATTTTTCCACATTCTGCACTCCTTTCCAAAGACTGGCTTTTATTTAACAGCTGGAGAATTCCTTAAACTCATCTCCAAACACAAAGAGCTCAGGCACAGTTTACACAGTTCTCATTGCTACTGCATTTTAGGGCATTTCTACGTAAAAAATACCACAGAACTTAATGGACAAATCGCTATGATATATGGTCAAGAAGAATACAGGCTACCATTTGAATTTCAGATCACAAGGATGGTWGGCAGTAAAAACGAACTGCACACATAGATACAGAAAATCCTTCAAGTTACAGCTGAGACCCAAACATGAGAGCAYGTTTCATCCTCTAGGTCACAATCCAGMAAGGCCTTTAAGCAYRAGAGCAACATCACACATCTCAGTAGTCCCACATAATTCAGTTGCACGTGGCGTATCACACTAAGCACACTGAATTGCTTTGCTTTATTTAAACTGCAGCTATCAAAATACAAGTCACGTTACACTTGAGTTTGTTTGGTTTGTAAATTATTATCTTAGAAGACTTCAGAGTCCTTTTTATCTACTAAAATATTCTAACTTAAATTGAGAACTAACCTGTTAGCAATAAAGAGGCTAATGTACTTTCTCCTCTCTGTGTAAACTGCATTTCCCTACATTACAATACTGAAAAATGGTTAGCCAGTTCTGCTTTTTCCTTTGTAGCACTCGTAGACACTCTTTTGATACACATGGATACATGCTGCTATGAAGTTTACACTCCAAGCAGTAGAAGAATACTTCATTGGWAGTATCTGTTGGTGAAAGAAGAATTTATTCTGTTGCTTTAGTCACATATAAACACCTTTTGAGAAGAGCTCTAAAAAAAATCTGAGCAACTGTTTCATGTATTTATAAACACACTCTGTTCTGTAGGCTCCAATAGGCAGCTGAAATATCCATTAGTGAATTATACTGGTATTTGTGTTTAAACACAAACAAAATAARTAACAAAAAAGATAGCAACTTGACAGAAATCTGTAACTCAGTATGTGGTTTAACACAGAGCAGAGTTTAGCAGACAAATAGAGAAAAACAGACTTTGCAGCAGTGGTTTAACACCAGTAACCAGTGGTTACTGCCTCTACCCAGGAACAAAAATCAGCCTATTTACTCCCATGGCATCACACTTGTTTTCTTCTCCTGCCCTGATTACAATTCCCTTGGTCTAAACATTCTTCCCAGTCTTAAGAGGCAAGTGATTTACTCTAGAAATATTAAATCTTAATAAATGCTAAATTGTTCCTTCACAGGCAGAGAGCAACCTAAAGAAGCTACATGCAGAAAATGTTACCTCCACTGTGATCTGCACCACATCATGGCTCAAACATATGAATCCTCCTTAACCAGTACTTTTCAGCTCTGGTGMATGGAATGTACATAATATGCCCTAAAATGTACATTTATGCACATTCCCTGGATCTTTTAAATATTCTAAGAGCACTGTCATTTGTTCAGGGATTACATATTGTATACACAGACTTGATACTTTGCATTTGCCATTCATTCAATGAAGAGGATTGTATTAAGCATACGTGTTACAGAAGTTTATTTCTTATCCTAATTTTTTAAGTGAAATTTGGCTTAAATGATTAAAATGATTAAAACTATGATTAAAACTACAGAAATCAGTAAGAGTTCAGCAACCAAGTATTATCCACAAAGAGATTTATTTCCAAAAGAACAAATAAAATAAAAAGACTGCATCATTTAGAAAAAAACAGATGATACATTACTGAAAAAAAAATTAAAAGTCAAGTATGATTTATGAGAAAAGAGAAGCAAAAATTAGAAAGGTCCACATGAAATAGTAAGAATAAATGCTGTTTGGCTCAGCTTTAGCTTGACTTTAAGCGTTACTACAACTGAAGCCTTTAAAATGTCTCTGGTGTGCAGAGACAAAATGAAAACAACTGTTTTACGGTGCTTCCTATTCTAAAACTTATTTATTAGCACAACCTGCATCACATTCCATCACGTAATTGCAATGCCGTTCTGCTTAGCCAATTACRTAAGTATTTTATACATCAGAATAGACCCGAACACATAAAAATTAAGCCAATAGCAATGTCATTATTTTAGTTAGAAATAAGCTATTCTTAAATTACTTATATTTAGGTCRTCTTGTGAAAGCAGCTGCTTTATATTCCCTAGTTCCACTAAAAAGGAAAAGTGCAATAAGATCTCTTATTGACAGCTGCATTCAAAAACATACCAGTTACATAAGTTTGCAAATTATACTGTGCCAGAGTTAAATATCTAAGCATTTTAACGACAGTTCTCAAAATGCTATCTCAGCAAGAATGACTCAACTGCACCGYATAAGTTGCACTCCAGATAAGAAGCAACCAACTCGATTTTATAGGAAAAAAAAAAACTTTTTAGTATTCTACTTTAATTCAAATTGCTCTGAGTGAGTTCTGCTTGTTTAGACCTGCAAGCTTTACCAGTCATTTGGCATTTCCATCTCTCCTTGGTTTCARCGAAAGTATCTCGAGCTTACCTATWGACAGTKRGMGAAATACTTGGAAAACAGGWATAATTTTCTAYTGTACCTAAAGGGGAGAGATTTACCTGACAACTAACAAGCAGAGGACTAGACCTCTAAACCTGAGCTAGGCCTTGCCTGTATATGAGAAAAGCATTGCTAGGCCAGAAGAGCGTGAGAGGAAAGAAAAACTCTCTCCACATTTATCCAAGGATTTTACCTGAGATCTCTGTGAGGAAAACATTAATAACTGGCATGATGCACCAGCAAGTCTTYTAGCCCCATTTCACACACAACAGCAAGACTCAGAAAGGCCCGGGAGTGAAAACTTTAGCAGCAGCTAATGCTGGTGCACCAATCCGAGCTGCTGTCCTTTAACACCTTCCCTTTGAATGCTACTGTGATTGGATAGGCAACTGTAAAACTTCCCTGTCCCACGTTTTCTCTTATGTTATTCATAGAAGAAACTATGAATAGTAACAGAAGGGAAGCTATCAGAGAAGAAATGTGGGTAGAAATTGCATAATTCTTGGTCATTTGGCAACTCACTCAAGGTGCTGTGTAACAGAAGCCATCSAGCCTTAATTCCACCAGTACTTCACAAAACCTGCTTCAGCCACCTAATCACTGAAAGAGCTCAGCAAAGTGCTGCAAGTGTTCRTATTTGGAAATTAATTTCCTAGAATCACAAGAGTTAGATCTTCTACTTTACAAATTGATTCTACTTAATGTGCTGSTAAACATCGCAATCTAAGGAAAATATATCACCTACCTTCTTTCCAGTTACTGCTCTTGGGATTTAAAACTGTCTTCTGCTTTAAAAAAAAAAATTAAATTCCTCTGGATGATATACCTTAAGGACCTTAAACCTTAAGGTTACCACAGAGGTCACTCCAATGAACAGCACTTTCCCACTTGACAGAAGGTACAGCTCAAAAAAATTTATTTCTTTCCAAGTGCTACTGTAAACTTAAATGTTAGTTTTGTAACCACAAAATCTTGCCAGCCACATGGCAACAYTGAAAAATCTTTTAATCGTACTAAATAAATACAAATACATATCGAGCAGATAGATGTCTGTAAAATCAATTCTCCTGAAACKGTTAACCTCCAGCCAGTCTTAACGTTGCATCACAGCTACTAGAACACAATCTAATGTAACAAAAAGGTTAGACGTATGCTCAGAACCTCTGGCATCTGAAAGCAAGCCCAATTACCAAGCACATCATCGCACAACTTTCTCACCGAGGACAGCATTTGTTCCACAGGCTTTTAACACGCACGCTGTGACAGATCACAGATCGACAACGCAACCTTTGCTCAGGACATTGTTTTCAAAGGCACCGAAATCTCTCACAAACTTTAAACGCCCGAAAGGCGTTGGCGAGGGAAAGCCGCCCGCTGCATCACAATGTCACTATGTGGGGAGCGCTTGATGCTCCGACCCTCGCCAGGGTGGGGTGCTTTATAAATAGATGCGKTTTTTTTTTTTTCTTTCCTAGTCAGTGCCATGCCCCGAGCGTTCGGGTGGCGATGGGAAAGGAGGCTGTTTATAGCCTTTATTAAATGAACTCTGGGCGAGGAAAGGAGAGGGCAGGGAGAAAGGGAAAGCTGCTGCTCCTACCTGAGCCAGGCCCAGACCCCGCTGCTCACCCTCCCCCCGCTGTGCCCGGGGGGCTGCGGGGACACCCCCACCCTCAGCAGGCGCCCGCAATGCAGGGGCTGCGCAGGGGGCTCCAGGCAGCGGCACYCCAGCGGGATCGCACCCCCCTTACCCATCCATCTCCCTCCCTGCGGCCGCCCGCCCCGCTCCCAGCTGCGCCGCCGGGGATGGCGCCGCGCTCCCGCGCTCTCCGCGCTCCGCCGCCCCCGGTTGTTTACAGGCCCAGGGGGCCCCGCAGCGCCCCGGCCCCGCCGCCCCCTCACCTCACCCCGCCCCGGCCCCGCACTGCGCAGCGCCACTTACCCCCCCGGCCGCGGCGTCGGCGCCGGCTGTGCGGGCAGGGCCGCGCTCCCGGCGGTGCGCGGGGGAGAAGGGGAAGGAGGGGGGGGACAAGGAGGAGGAGGAGGAGGAGAAGGAGGGGGGCACCCGGCTGGCGGCCTCGCCTCAGCTCATTCACAGGGCGGCTCTGTGCTCAGGGGGAGCCCAGCGCTCATCTCGCCCCCGCCGCCGCCG